CTCTGCTGTTCTCCCTCTCTGGGCCTGCATTTTCCTAGCTGTTGTTTCTGAGTTTGATCCCCTGCAGTGGCTCAGCCTTTCTTTGAGCTGAGCAGGGTCAGCGGAATTACCAAGTTTCTGGCAAGGGAACTGGAGGAGCAGCCTGTTCTGTTCTGCTGGGCCCAGACAGCTGAAGCCTTCGCTTCCTCTTATCCCTCAAGCTGTCATAGGAGCTGTCAGCTCAGGGTCTCCAGAGTGGAAGCTGGGGGAGGTGACAAAATGCATCTCTCTGCAGCAGTGCCACTGAACCTTGCCTTTCTGATCACATCACTGCTACAGGCCTGATCCTAATTCTGTATCTGTGAGCTGAAAAACAAGCAGGACCTTTATTATCTTCTCTCCAACTGCACAAAGGCTAGTTTGGGACAGAAGGGAGTCCCTGCCCCAGTTAAAGGAGAATACAGGCTTTAGAGAGAGCAGATCTTGAAGAACAAACCTTAGGATGAAAGGTGGTAAGCTTGAAGTTGTCTGCTTCATCTTCTAGCTACTGTTAAAGTCCTAATACTTTCAAAACTATTATAAAATATGAGCTCTGATTTGTTCAGTGACAGTGTCTGCAGGGATTCTCCAGCGTTTTTGGGATTGCTCTAACTGGATTGAAGAAACATTTAGATGTTTATCAGTTTAGAGAACCATGAACTGTGCTGATTTGTTAAGCAAAGAACCTGGGGTTGAAAGCAGGCGTCTCTCTAAGGAGCTGCTCTCCTCCAGGCCTTTTAGGTGCATTTTATTTGAGCATCCTTAAAGCAAGGAATCACTCAGCTTCTTGTGGCTCACCCAGTAATCTCAGCACCTTGCCTACCATGGGAGAGAGAGTGTGTTTAGATGTGCAGAAGCTGGAGACAAGTCTTTTAGGATAGTTTATCCTTGCCTCCCCTAGCAGCCAGGGCAGCCATTTGGTGCCATCAGCTGCCCCAAGGCAGAGCTGTACAGGCTGTGATCTAGCTTGTTCTAGTTGCTCAGTTCAAATGAATTTGTCTTATTTGAATAAGAATAGGGAGGAGAAACAGTTCATCCTTCATGGCTTCAATTTAGTTGCTTTGACTCTGGTTTTGTGCATCTTTCTCACTACAAAGCTGGTTTCTGGGAGTTCCTGACCCTGTTAAGGTCCTATGAGCAGTTTCCTTCCTGGTCCATCCCCTCCTGACAGGTTTGCTTTGGAAGGAGCCTTCAAACAAAGCGTGTGGGAGCACCAAGGCTGGTAGGGGCTGGCCAGTCAGCACCTTTCTGGGAATGGCGTGCTCCAGCTCCCCTGGCCATCTCTGTCTAGTATCTTCAAGCAAGAATCAGGGGTGTAACAAGGCTCCTGGTCCTTACCAGGGAAAGAAAAAGTTTGGGCTGGCTGTAGCTTTCCAGAACGGGTGTTTGAGGGAATATGCAAGACATTGTTTAACTGAGACAGGTCAGAGACAAGCCTGTTTGTTCTGATTCCTCTGCCAGCCGGGGGCAGATGGAGTGCAGCAGTGTGGGGAGCTGGGTCAGAACAGACCCTGGCTTGATTCATGTTGTGTAGAGAGGGGCAGATATAGCAATTCTAATAAAGCTTCTACTTAATAAAGGGAAAATCACTGTCTATGATGTTTCAGGTCTGGATCCAGCCTCAGCATAGTGGTTTCAAGGCTTATTTTAATTGTCCCATCAGCCCCTCCTTTAAGCCAGGCTATTGAAGTCTTCTGTGTGTGACTAAACATCTTTACCCTTTTGAGTGTCCCAGGTGGCAGTGAACAGAAAGCCAAATGAATTCCCTTCTCTTTTTGGTGCCTTTGTCTCAGGCTTTGAATAAAAGTCTATTTGATGGAGCTTCTTTTTTTTTTTAAGGAGCTTCTGAGTTTTTTCTTTTTCTTCAAGGGACAGGCATTCCCTGCCCTTGAGATCAGATGGGGACTGTCTCCCTGTCCCCAGATGCCAGCTCTGGAGGTCACAGCTGCAGTAGAGAACTGTGAGCAAGTATCTTTATTTTCAGCCCTTAAAGTCAACGGAAGAAAAGTGTAGCAGGGGATGGAAGAACTTGAAGAGCTCCTTCAGGTCTGGTCTGCCCCAGAAATCGCCTGAAGGCAGGATGGAGAACTTCCAGACAGTCTGGTGCCTGGGCGTCTGTGCAGTTCAGAGCTGAGTGAGTCACGCTGGGTCCTGGTATTGTTTGGCACTTACAGCTTCTGGGTGCAGAGTGGGGCTTGGGGACTCCTGCACCCCTAATTTGCTCGCTGAGGGCCTGCCCCGTGCTGCTTTGGTCTGAACAGAGCAGGGACCTGTGCCTTGTCCCTTGGCCTTTAAGCTGGAACGGGATTGCAGCAGCCAGGGAAGTGTCTTGCTACAGGAGCCCTGGGCTGAACAAGCCTGTTGCTGATAGAAAACAGCAGGAGGGAGAGCCATGAGAGCAGCTTCAGCCCTTGGTGTGAGACAGATTCTGAGCAGCTGTGAAGTACCAAGTGTTTCAGGCTCTGTTTGGTGCTCAAATGTGGGAGAGATCCGTCTGCTTCTTGCGCGTATGATGGGGAGGGAAATATCCTTGCTGAGAATCCAAGGGAAATGGGAACTGGGCCAGCACTGAGCTGATTTACCTACTGGCACTTCTGCATCTCCACAACAAATGCCAAAGCCTAATACAATTCAAGGATGCTATTTTAATGTCGGCCTGGTTCCACCAGTCTGTCTCCACCGGCTGGTCCCAAATAGGCTCACAGGAGTATTCTCAACGGCACAGACACACCAGGCTGGAGCTGTGAAGGCTCAGAAACATGATCACATGGATGGGCTTCCTGTGCTGCACCCCTGCTTCGTGCTGCCCAGCAGGTCTGGGGCACATGCATTCACCTTGGATCCAAATGGATTTGACCCAGGAGTATTGTAGCATTGAAAGGTGCTGGGATGGATGGGAGAGGTGAAAGCAGGTCCATGTCTTCCGGGACTCTGGCTTGCTCAGAGTTTATTGCTGTATATTAAATACTATTTTTGGAGATTGTGGGGAAGATGAGGGTGGGGAGGGATGTGACGATGCTGTCCACAGTCTGATTGGTGGGATGCTACTGCAGGTTATTGATAGGTTTTTGGTTTGTTTTTTTTTCTCATAAAGTGCTTTATTTAAAAAAGAAAAAAACCAGTCAACAGAACAAGTGCTTTCCATCCTCCTAGAAACTGTGCTGGCTGATTAGAAAATGTGAATAATCTTTTGCAAACATCAAAGGTTTTTGCTAAAGAGTTTGTGTGATGGAGATTGGAAGGCAAGGGGCAAAGTACAGCTTGAACCAGTTTAGCTGGGAAGAGTGTGAATCCAGGAAATGCAGGATCTCTGCCCTGGAGTTGTCCCCTGTCACATTTAATGGGGACGTGCTCTCCTGTGTTACCATGGCTGTTCTGTCACACTGGCAGTTCCTGAGCTGGTGTTCTGGAGTGAAGCAGTGGCTGGCAAGTGGGGGGCTTGAATTTTTTGTGATTTCCTCGGGGCCTTTGTGCATCAGGGCTTTCGCACTTGTGGAGCAGCTGGCTTGGTAAAGGAGCCCTGGAGCCTGTGAGAGCAGAGGCAGGATCTGTGCTCCATGCCAGGAGGCAGCAGCCAGGACTGTGAGAGGTGGTGGTGGTGTTTGGGTCCTGTTGGGGTAGCAGCAGTTGGCACATGGTCCCACCACTCCGTTGTGCCTGGCTGTGGATGTGTGGAAGTGGCCTGTGCCACTGGCAACGGAGACACATCACAAACTACTTAAAAGCTGCAGGTCTAAGTTGTCTGTGAAGGCTGAAGCAGTGTGAGGAGAAATCTACATCTGTATGTGTCACCAGTACAAAGGGTTTTTGAGGAGGATTTTTTATTTTACTGCCCATTGTTTTGTGTTATAACAACTTGCAGTGACTTCTTTACTTTGTTTTGCAGCAAGCTTGGGCCCTAGGTGAAAAGCACAGATACCTATTTCTGATTGCATCGGCTTTGCAGGGACTAGTTTGGGGGAGATGGGCATGGGGGTGGGTTATTTTATTTTTGGTACATGGTAGCAGTTTTATTTTTTAATTTTCCCAGGATGTTTGGCTGAGGGAATGTTCTGAAATCTACTGTCTGGCAGTTTAACCAGCAGTGTGCTAAAGGAAAATAAACAAAATTATATTGTCACTTGGATGAGATGGTCCCTCTTTTCTGGTGGTGGGGGCAGAGGAGCCCCCTCTGGTTTACACCCATGCGAGGGAGGCTGAGCCTGGCTGACTGCTGGGTAACATCGTGCTGCTGCCTCCACTACAGCCCTGGTGATCTCTTGCCCATTGTTTTGAGCGATAAGGTGCAAATGGAATGGTACAACATCCTCTTAAAAGTGCTGATGTGGTTGTTGCTTCCTGCTCAGAGCCGGAGCACCAGAGAGATGTAATCTGCTTTCTGGGGCTTTGCAAGCTGCCCCGCTTTCAGCTTGAAACCGTGTCAGAGGCAGATGGGGCTGGAGCAGAGGGAAAGCAGCAGCCTTGTGCTGCCGGTGCCTGCTCTTGGGGACAGGGTGCCATGCAGAGAGGGAGCTTTTCTGGAAGGCCTGGCTCTGTCCTTCCTTAGGGCACAGGATAGAGGCACCAAGCCCATGCAGCGGGGAGGATTTAGGAGCACTGGTGCGGGCAGGTTTTTTTGAAATAGCATTTGGCTGGCAGTAGTAGGAGTGTGCTGCTCACAAGCCACAGCAAGCGTCACAAATCACTGCTCAAAATCTGCTTCCGGTCATCGTGAGCGTGTTCAGTGTCTGCTGGAGGACTTCCAAAAAGAGGATGCAGACGTATGTTTTTCTTGCCCAATTCTCCAGAGGGCTGGAGGTGACTCTTGACAGCTCTTGCGTGCCTGCTGCGGGCTGGTGGGCTGCCCCTCTTTGGGAAGAAACACATTCTTTCCTCCGTGTGTTGATACTTTCGAGTCCCTCCGAGTGGGATCTCCCCACTTCCTCGCAGACTCGTCCGATGTCTGCAGCTGCCGCCTCCGGTGTGTGGTCATGACACTGACCCGGGAGCACACGGTCCTGTCGCTGTCCCGCTCCCCAGGGACAGCAGCTGGGGTGTCCCCGGGCAGGAGGAGCGTGGTGTGCCCTCCATGGCATCGTCTTGCTGACGCTGCCGAAAAGTGCTTGCCCCGTCCCCTGAACAGCGGGGCTCTCGGGGCTGCCTGCTCTCTGTGTCACCGGCTGCACTGCGGGTTCAGGCCGCGCCTTCAGACCCGGGAGCCCAGGTGGCCAGCCAGGGGTGCCGACCGGGCGGTGCGGCGGGAGCGGGACGCGGGCTGGCAGCCGGCCGGGGGCAGCGGGAGTGGGGCCGGTTTTGTTTGTTCTTTGTGTTGTTTTCCCTCAGGTAACTTAGCTTTTCCAGCCGGCCTGTCCCGCTGGGTCCCCAGACAGAGCGGCTGCCGCGCCGGCGGTGCCCGTGCGAGGCTCTTGGGTCACCCATCCAGGCGCGACCGCGGCGGGCCCTGCTGAGCTTCGGGCGCGGCGTTGCCTGGCAACGGCCCCCGCCCCGCCCCGCGCTCCCATAGCTACCGAGGCGGGCGGCGGCCATCTTGGCAGCGGCCATGAGCGGCTCCAGGGCGCGGGCGGCGGCGGCGGCGCCGGGGCCGGACAAGAAGCTGCCGCCGGGGTCTGCGGGGCCGCTCAGCCGCCTGCGGGGCCGACGCGGATCGGCCGATGCGCCGCCACGGCAGCCCTGGACCGAGTCCGAGTTGCTGGCGCTGGAGACCGTCCGGCCCGAGCACGTCCTGGGGCTGTGCCGGGTGACGGAGAGTAAGTGCGGGCCGGTCCCCGGAGCGGCGGGGGCTCTGCCGGCCGGGCCGCCGGGGCCGGGCCGCGCCTTCGGCCTGGGGAGCGGCGGGGCCCGGCCCGGCGCTGCCGGCGGGGGACGCGGCGGCTCGGGCGCGCTGGTCGGGGTGCGCCCGCCGGCAGCTCCCGTACAACTTCCAGAAAGTTTGGGGGCTTTTGTGTTGTTTGTGGGTTTTGATTTGTTTGAGGCTTTTTGGTTTTTTTGGTTTTTTTCTCTGGGCTGTTGATCTCTGCTTTTCTGTCCTGATCGCATCCCATTCTTGCTCTGCTACCTGGCACTTACCATGCCTTTGTTTCTCACATCCTTAATTTTGTCCTGTTTTCATGAAGCTTCTGCAAAACAACGAGCAGTATGTATCTTATCGGGCTGGGGCTAACAAAAAGGGAAATTCATTTGATAAGTGGTCAGAGGTGTTTTGAAGCGTTACTATATTTTTTCTCTCTCTTCTAGATTATTTATGCAAACCTGAGGACAACATTTACAACATCGACTTTACCAGGTTTAAGATCCGGGACCTTGAAACTGGAACAGTACTATTTGAAATTGCGAAGCCATCTGCTTCAGGTACAGCATGCAAACGTTGCAGGGAGGATAGAGAGACTCAGAGAGCTGAGAGGCTGCAATGCACGACCCATGCAAACTGAGCAAAAGGGTCCTTTGGTATATGTCCTGATGACTACATTCTTCTCCTTTAGGCATAGGACTGAGTTTATCTATGCTGAGCAACTTGTGATAAAAATGTGATTATTGTTGGATGAGAGAGAACTATTGACTGGCAATCTTCCTTTTTTGGGCTGGTTATAATAGAGATTAGTTCATGTGCATTGGCAGTTGTGAGGGGGGATATGTGAGATTGAGGGGAGGGGTGGCTCCAGTTCTGGAGCCACCACGGCTGGGCCAGCTGTCATGGCAAGTCCTTTCTTTTACTTCATGCCAGTATAAGTCTCAGACCAATTACTAAATGTGTTTATATTCAGTACCTAAGCAGTCGGCAGCTTGGCCTGATACACCCACTAGCCAGTATCACCTCAGGTGTACACTAGGAGCAGAGTAACTCCAGGCTGGTGTGTTTTCTAGAGCACGCTGAGGAGGATGAGGATGACAGCAGTGAACTGGATGCAAGTGCAGGTCGCTTTGTTCGCTACCAGTTCACCCCAGCGTTTCTCCGTCTTCGGACTGTTGGTGCAACGTGAGTATGAGTTCATGGAAAGAAGGGAGAATTGGATGTTTACAAAGTGTTACTTGACAGTTTATAACAAAACTGGGTTGAAGACGCGAGAGAGCCTATCGTAGACTACAAATATCAAACTCCCTGTAGAGGACTCTTGTGTAGCCTCATGCCCAAGGTTCTGTTCTTCCCAATGACTGGTTTTTTCCTGATTCTTCCATGCAGAGTGGAATTCACAGTGGGAGAAAAGCCAGTGTCAAACTTCCGAATGATTGAGAGGCATTACTTCCGAGATCGCTTGCTGAAGAACTTTGATTTTGATTTTGGTTTCTGCATCCCCAGTAGCAGGAACACATGTGAACACATTTATGAATTCCCTCAGCTCTCAGAAGACCTTAGTAAGTACTCCTTTGCCGCAGTGAGTGGTGTTTTGTTTGTGTGTGCATCTGCTCATTCTCTCCCTCTACTTGTGAAAGAAGTTGTGACTGGGATTGAGGGGACAGGAACAAACAGATACAGGTTCCCAGTTTAGCAATGTGTAATCTTCTCTGAATTAGAGATTTGTGCTGCAAAGTCTCCACCTTTGAAAATGAAAGCCTAAGACAACCTGTGCTAAGTCACAGGCTGCAAGAACTGATCAGAGTCACAGGGCTGACATGCCTGATACCTCGTAGTGTGGCCCAGAAGAAAACAAAGCACCAAAGAAAGGGTTCCTTTTATAGCCACCCATCTGTTTTCTGCACTTGCTTGTTAGGGCGAGAGCGTCCTGCTTTGGAACAGAACTGGTTCTTCCCTGAGGTCTGTTTTTAAGCCTGCTAAGATCTCTGCAAACACAGATTGCACAGGGTATGTTTGACCTCGGGGTGGATAGAGCAGAGGCACAGGGGCCCTTGTGGGGCTGCCTGGCTGTGAGGAAGGTTTGGGGTTTTCATCGTGCCTGTGTACATGTGGGGAGCTCCTTCTGCTTACAGTTGGGATGATTGCTTGGCTCCATTCATGGCTCTGGCAGTTTCCAAGATTATTTTGAGTAAGGTTACTTCATTCCCCCTCTGTTTGCTTTTGACAGCACTTGTCCTGTGAATGGGAAGAAGGGAAAGGGCAGGGTGCAGCTTTTGAAGTAAGCTCAGAAGAGCAATTTGCTTCTCTTCCTGGGGTAGGGCAGAGCATCAGCCTAGTAAATCCAGTGGCAGAGTCCTTTTTATCCTGATTGTGGCTGGCTGTTGAAGGTAATGGAGCTTTCTCTTTCACAGTCCGTCTGATGGTTGAAAACCCATACGAGACGCGCTCGGACAGCTTTTACTTTGTGGACAACAAGCTGATTATGCACAACAAGGCCGACTATGCTTACAATGGAGGACAGTAATCATTCTGTCTTCTGGATGCTGTGATGCCCTTAACCATTCCAGATGTGCAGGAGTGGACTGGAGTTGCTGTCTCGTGCAACAAAGCTTCTTGCCAAACTTTTTCTCTGTGCATGAGGCTGAGAACGTGAAGCGAAGATGACGGCTCCTCAAAGGAAATCTCCCTGCAACAACACCTCTCTACCTGAGACTCAGCGTTTCCTGCCTCTCCTTCTCTGTTCCTGGCTATCTTCTGATAACCTTGTTAGGTCAGTGATCAGAGGGACTCTTAGACAATTCTTGCTCTTAGTCTTTCTAGTTAGTTTGCACCTTTAGTGCTTCTGATGTTTCACCTCTTAGGTGAATATCCTTTTTCAACAGGTCAGGTTATTTGTGTTAAGCTGTTTCTTAGCAGGAAAATCTTAACCCCTTCAAGTAGCTAGCAATGCTTGAAGAGCAGATCTTTTGTTCAGTTGGATAGATCATCTCTTCAGTGGCAGTGGTTTTGGTTGTGGCATTGCTGACATTGTTTTTTAGGGTGCATCGCAAAATTCTCCAGTGGGAAAGAGACTAATTCAGCTTCTAAGCAGTGCAGGAATATTCCATCTGCCTCTGGGGCCTGAGCTGCCCCTAAGAGCATTTAAGCTCTGTTTTGCCAGAGATTTCACTAGAGATATGAGATAGGGGAAAAAGGGGGTTGTCCTTCTGTTTGAGATTTTATGATCAAACTGTTGAATTTTGGAGCTCAGGGGTCAACCTTAGAGCTGAAATTAATCTCACTATATTTACCATTTCTTCTTCTTCCCTTTGTAGGAATTTTTGGCCCTTGGTACAGAATGTATTGCTTTTTAGGTGGACAGCACATTGTCAGCCTGACTGGAGTGAAGGTGTCACTCTAGTGGGGCTTAGAGGAAAAAGGGAGAATATGGAAAATCACTTGAAAAATGAGTAGGAAGCAGAGCTTCCTAGGCTTCAGTCTGTACTTGTAAACCTGACTGATCTGTCAGAGTTGCTGTGAGCAGCACCAGCTCATTTTCTTTGTTGCAGTGGAGATATTAGTAGCTAAAAGCTTCCCAGGTCAGATCACTCAGTGTTGTGGAGTGGGATCCTTGGAAAGTGAGAATGTACATGGTTCTCTTTTTCATTGTTCCCATCATTGCTCTGCCTGCCCAGCTGCTTATTTATGGTTTAGGAAGTCATGCTGCTGAGGTTGATACCACAGCTGTGTTTGGGATCTGGCAATGGGAGACAGCATCATGCAGTGGGAAGAGGAGGACCTGTGTCTTGCCAGTAGCTGTGCCAGGGCAAGCTCCCAACTGTGCAAAATCTCAGCTATTGGAACTTTTTTTGCCAGTTTTGTTGGCTCTCCAGACTGGTACTTTTCCTGTCCCCATGCTGGGCTGGTCAGTTGTGTCTCTTGTTAGAGGAATTACGTTGTGTCTAGACTGGAGACCTTTCCTAATACTAGTTCCATTTGTTCTTGAGACTGTTAAAACCTAACTCTTCAATGGTTACCTGTTGTGCTAAGAGGGATTCAGAGTAGTTTGTGTTTTAGCAGGATTGAGTGGGGTGGACATCAGAGCCTAGAACCTGTTAATGCAGACAGCAATAGGAAACCACTGCCTTTACTTCCACATTAGTGAAAGTAACTTTGGCGTGGAACATCAGCTGGCATCAGAGTAAGGAGTGAGAGTGTGTGGGGTGGCAGCCATGAATGAATCTCCAGCTCTTAGGAAGATACTTAATTATGATTAACCACAACAAATGACCTGTTCTGGGTGGAGCATTAATCATAAGCAACCACAACAAATGTCTTGGGAATGTGGAGGGGCAAGGTCTGCCTGATGGAAAGATGAAGAACTATTCTGCCACCATCGATCCTCTCCAGCATCTCCACAGGCACTAATGCAATCTTGTTTGGGATCTTCAGGATTAGTTAAAGCTGCTGTTGAGGTGGACCCTGAGATGCCTCTTACAGTGAACACCTTCCACAGCCCTCATGCTGTGCCTCTGAGGTGGGAAGCATTTGCTTTGCTCTAAGTTACTCACCACAAAGCAGAACTGCCTGGAAGTGTGCTTTTCATCCTGAAGTGTTCAGAAATAGTGTCTGAAGAGCCTACTCGTTATCCCCTGGCAAATTTTAGCATATTGAACTGAATTTTATATGTAGTATAAATCCAGGTGCCTTTAAACGTTACTTTTATCACACTTTCTACATGAAGCAACCTCTCACTTTTCTTACGAGTGTGACGATTCCCATCTGTTTCTCTGTCGCTGTAAAGGTTCCTCAAAGGCGGATGGGCTCGTCCCCAGGGCGGGCGGGGGCGCGCACGGGCAGTGGGGGCGCGCACGGCGCGCGCGCGCCATCTAGCGGCTGCTGGCGGCGGGAGCGCGCTGCCGGCGTTGGGTCCCGCTAGGAAAAGGGAATTCCTGTCCTTGGCTGTCAGCAGAGACGAGGAAACGGCACCGAAGCGGTTGCTTTCACACTGGTGAATGTGTTAGCTGTTCAGCAATAAAAGGGAGAAGCGGAGGAAAACCGGGAGACTCGCAGGCAGCAGTAGCACCCTGCGGGTTTTAGCTGAGTTTGTTTGCTTTGCCAAATCAGAAGGTCTTTGCCCTAAAAGCATGCTGCAGGAAAAAGAAAGTCCCTATAAGAGGGCAACCCAGCACTGAAAAAGTTGATTGTAATCCAGAAGGTCAGGGATTTCCAAACTCCTGTCCCTACTTTAGTAGCTTGCTTAGGATTCCTTTTCTCTTAGGTACTTTCTAGAAAGCCTCTTTCCTTTGTGGCAGGGATGATTTCTTTGGTAAACATGGTTTAGCAGACCAGCTTCCTTCTGGAGTGTGTGCTCTGGTGTTTTAATGATGGGTCAAAGCTACTCATGCCAGTGAGCTTGGAAGAAATTCCACTGGGATCACATCCTTGACAGGTGGATGGTCAGTTGTAACCTGGTGCTGCAGGCAAAGGAGATGCTTTCAGTGTCAGTTGGAGTTTGAGCAAGCAAAAAGGTATCAAAGACTACTTCTCTCAGGTTTTGTGCTGAGTTGGAAAAAGAAAAAAGTTGGGACCATACTGAGTTCAACTTAAAACTTCAAAAAGAAAGGGACCAAACCCACAAGCTCATAGTATGTTTTTTCCAGTATTTGTCCTCTTACCACCAGGACCTCTTTTTCCCATTTTTGAGGCAAGGGCTTTGGATCCATGCCAGCAAACTTCCTGGAAAGCTATTTTCGTACCTTGAGTGTTGAATACATACTGCACCTTGTGAAGGAAGGTCATCTCTTGTATGGATTGGGTACTTCTGTCCTTGTCCTCTGTTTTTGGTAGGAAATGTCTTGTGTGTGTACTTGAGGACTCTCAATGTCTCATGTTGCAGAGGAGCAGCAGCGTCTTCTCTGGTGCTTGGGGATGCTTATTCATTATCTGAGGGTTCAGGAAGAATAAAACAAGTGTTTAGTGGTCAGAAATGAAGGAGGAAGGTGGTGGTGAAGCAGTAAGGTCCAAATGTAGCAACTCTACTTCTCAGCTCTGTGTTTCATCACATCATCGTCAGCTGTTTCCCAGTCTTCTGCCCTGCTGTCCTGTGAAATGGAGCTGCCTTGTGCTGCCCCAGAGCCTGGCTGGCTGTCGGCTGTGACTCTCGGACATAAACACTGCCATCTCCTGTCCTTGCCGAGGACGAGGCTGAGTGATGGCAGCCTGGTGGAGTCAGCACCTCTTCCTCTTCAGCAGCAGGACAGTGAACACCAGCAAACGCCCTCTGCGCCTGCCTGGATCCCAGTGCTGTTACAGGACACATATTTATATTCTCACAGTGTGGCCTTGGGGCTGCTGGCGCGTGGACTCCTCTGTGCTGTCCCCTTCGGACCCTGCTCCCGTGGCCGTGGCAGCGCCGCGGGGCTGTCCTGGTGGCCGGGGTGTCCCCGCGGTGCCGCTGTGTTTGTACACCCGTGGTTTTGTCACCAGCAGTAGGAATAAAGGGGCGGGAGGGGCCGCGCCGCTAGGGGGCGGCGCGTGCGCGCCGTGGCCCCGCGCTCCCTCAGGCGGCGCGATGGCGGCGGCGGCGATGGCGGCGGTCGTGTCCCGCTGCGGCGGAGCTCGCCGGGGTGAGGGCGGCGGAGCGGCTTCCCTCTGCTGGGGCTGCTCGGGCGGCTGCGGGGCACCCGGGAGGGGCGGGAAGGGGCCGTGGCCTGCGCGGGAGGTGGCGTCCCGGTGCCCTTCAGGGCCTGCCTGAGGCCAGTCCCCTCAGGCGCGGGAGTGGCGCCGCCCTTCAGCCGGGCCGCAGCTGAGGCCGCGGGAAGGTGTCCCGGCCCCGGGGATCCTCACGGGCCGGCGCCCACCCCTGGCCCCGTGTGAAGGGCAGCGGCGGCGCTGAGTGCCCTCCCCGCTTCCAGCGCTGGCCCTGCGGTGCCGCCGGCTGCACACCGTGTACCAGAGCGCGGAGCTGCCCGAGACACACCAGATGCTGCGGCAGACGGTCCGGGACTTCGCAGAGAAGGAGCTGATGCCGCTGGCAGCGCAGCTGGACAAGGAGCACCGCTTCCCGGCCGAGCAGGTGGGTGCCAGGGTTGGGAAGGCACAGCCAGAGACCCCCTTCCTGGTGCCCTGGGGCAGGACCACTGGGGCTAAGGCAGAATGTACATCCAGCGCCGGTTTAGCAGAAAATTAAAGTTTAGACCAACTAGTTGCTCTGAATGTGGACATTGTAATTCCCACAGGGCATTTTGAGCTCTTCACTTTTATTTGTGTTTCTCTGTATCTGACTTTACTACCACTGAGTTTTTAGTTCTCTTACCGACTTATCTGTGGACTGTAATAAAAACTATAAAACTGATTTATAAAATTAATCAAATACTTTTGCAGACTACATATAATGGTTTATGGTGAGGAATCATAGATGACATGAATGCATTTCAGATGGTGGAAAAAAACTATCAGGAGGTGCATGCTGTTCATCCCCTGGGGCTGTGAATAAATTGAAATTGCAGCCAAACCAGTGATTTCTCATGTGGAAAGACACCAGTGTGCATGTTAAGCAATGAAATACAAAGCTGCAGCAAAATAGATCCTGTTACATTAGCCAAGAGACTGCAGGCAAACACTGTCAGAGGCATGAGACTTTTGTCACATTCCTCTTTCTCTTAAGGTATAAGGATGGTAGCCAGGAAAGTCACAATTACCCTAAAGAAGAAAATAACTTTACTCCTT